CCGTGTGCCTGCCGGTTTGTTTTCATATTCTGATGGAGTTTCTTGGCATATTCAACAGTAACATTTAAGTTAAAAAATAATCATTTTGACTAACTTTTCGTATGCCAGCCTAAGGTGCCCGAGAGGAAGCACAACCCTGTGCCCAAGGCCAAGCAGAAGCCGGAGGTGGTAAGGGCAGCCGGCAGTGAGGTCTCAGGCGATCGTGGCACTTCTCGCCCGGAGTCAACGGCTCCCAAGGCTCCCAGGCTCCCAGGCTTGGAGCTGTGAGCTGGTGATTTTTTAGTTTACTTTGTCCGCTCCCTGGCACGACTGTCGCTGTGTGGGCAATTGAAACCTTAGCTTGTACAGTAGCCGACGATGACAATACCGACTGGCTGCACGGGAATCAAATTTCGGGAGGTAGCCGATGCAGCTCGATTTGCTAGCGCGGCTTTGTCAAGACTTGTTGATGTTTTCTCTGACCAGGACAGCGGACGATTCTCGGCTAGCAGGCTCCTCCAAACCCGCGCCGAGGCGAGCCGGTGAGTCGCATGCATTTGAGTCGTACTTAGACCATTATTCTCGCCAGGTCCTCCTGCAGTGGGACGGGCGCCTGCGTACAGGCTGGCCAACTGCGGTCATAATGGCTTGACGGGTGATGCATCGACCCTTGCATTGCAACCTGATGACCCTTGAATGCGCTGATTCTCCGAGGTGCATTGAAGGGTCTGTTCGATGCATTGAAGGGTTGCTTCGTGGGTGCCCAACATCCCGCATGCCTACAAAGACCCTTGTATGCAACCTTGTGACCCTTGAACGCGCTGATTCTCAATAAAGGTGCATTGAAGGGTCTTTGGGATGCATTGAAGGGTTGTATCGTTGGCGCCCAACATCCCGCATCCCTACTACAAAGACCCTTGGATGCAACCTTGTCACCCTTGAACGCGCTGATTCTCAAAAAAGGTGCATGGAAGGGTCTTGTTGATGCATTGAAGGGTTGCTTCGTGGGTACCCAACATTCCGCTTAAAAAGACCCTTGGATGCAATTGGTCTATTGAAACTTCTGCTGAAGTTAAAGGGTCTTTGTACTGACAATGGCAAGGAAGTGGTGTTGCTGCAGTTGGCGCCCGAAATCTCGACATCCGGCTGGCCAGCCTGACTTGATTGAGTGCAGGGTCTGGTACATGGCGGTCATAATGGCTTGACAGTCAGCGACCCTTGGATGCAACCTTGTGACCCTTGACTGCGTTGATTCTTAAAACATGTGCATTAAAGGGTCTTTTGGATGCCTTGAAGGGTTGCTTCGTGGATGCCTACTAACATCCAGCATCTTTGAGGGACCCTTGGATGCAACCTTGTGACCCTTGAATGCGCTGAATCTCAGAGAAGGTGCATTGAAGGGTCTTTTCGATGCATTGAAGGGTTGCTTCGTGGGTGTCCAACATCCAGCATCTTTGAGGGACCCTTGGATGCAACCTTGTGACCCTTGAATGCGCTGAATCTCCAAAAAGGTACATTGAAATGGTCTTTTACCCTAAACCCTAAACCAGCCTAACCCCTAAACCCCTAAACCCTAAACCTTAAACCCTAAACCCGGAAGCATTGAAGGGTTGCTTCGTGGATGCCCAACATCCAGCCATCTTTGAGGGACCCTTGGATGCAACCTTTTGACCCTTGAACGCGCTGATACTTAAGAGAGGTGCATTGAAGGGTCTTTTCGATGCATTGAAGGGTTGTATCGTGGGTGCCCAACATCCAGCATCTTTGAGGGACCCTTGGATGCGACCTTGTGACCCTTGAACGCGCTGATTCTCAAAAAAGTTGCATTGAAGGAATTTTATCGTGGGTGCCCAACATCCAGCAGCATCTTTGAGGGACCCTTGGATGCAACCTTTTGACCCTTGAACACGCTGATTCTTAAGAGAGTTGCATTGAAGGGTCTTTTGGATGCATTGAAGGGTTTTATCGTGGGTGCCCAGCCAACATCCAGCAGCATCTTAGTCTTTGAGGGACCCTTGGATGCAACCTTGTGACCCTTGAACGCGCTGATTCTCAAAAAAGTTGCATTGAAGGGTCTTTTCTATGCATTGAAGGGTTGCTTCGTGGGTGCCCAACATCCCACGAGGATATGCGTGCCACGGGCTTGTAGAGTTGACTTGCAAGTTGTAGTCCAGCCGGATTGGTCTGAGAGTTTTAGGTGTCACAATTTCTGGAGAAAAACAGTGTGGAAGCGGCAGAGATTCTGCCGCTTCCGCGCCGTCCCAGGTTCACGGGCATGCAGGAGAGCGTGTCGAAGGCCTTTCGACACGCTTTCCTGCATGCCGTGCCCGTGTGGTATCGGCTTCCAGGTTCAGCTCGGCTAAAATAAGTTGTCCTAACCAGTCCGGCTTCGCGACTGTTGCCGAATTCATCTGCGGCTGAAGATCTGCCGCAAGACTCCCTCCCTGGCTGGGCCGAGACATGTGCCGTTACATGACAATCATCACGAGGCTCGGGAAAGGTTCGGTTCCTAGGTTCCCAGGCGCCCAGGTAGAATAGTTCGTTGGGTTGCCAAGCTCAGTCTGTTACCCTCAGTCAGGGAGTCTGTGTTCGGCAGAACTTTGAATTGCTCCGCTGGCAACCCAGCTCCCTGGGCTGATAAAATATAATAATAGTTCCGTGGAGTCATCATCGTCATCATCTGTCATCAATGTCATCAGGTTCCCAGGCCCGTTCAAGGTTCATGGGCCGCAACATCATCATCACCATCATCAGTCATCAATGTCATCAGGTTCCCAGGCCCGTTCAAGGTTCATGGGCGGCCGCAACATCATCATCATCATCACCATCATCATCTTCAGTCATCAGTCGAGGTTTCCAGGCCCAGAGGGCCCAGAGGATATGCGTGCCACGGGCTTGTAGAGTTGACTTGCAAGTTGTAGTCCAGCCGGATTGGTCTGAGAGTTGAAGGTTTCACACGGTTGCTGGGTTCTAACACTCTTTGCCTGTTAGCCTGTTCCCAGACACGGGCTGCAGGAGAGCGTGTCGAAGCTCGAGGTGTTCTCCTGCCAGCCCGTGTGGTATCGGCTTCCAGGTTCAGCTCGGCAACCGCAAATGATTAAATTTATTAAGTTTCTCCTAACCAGTCCGGCTTCGCGACTGTTGCCGAATTCAGCTGCGGCTGAAGATCTGCCGCAAGACTCCCTCCCTGGCTGGGCCGAGACATGTGCCGTTACATGACAATCATCACGAGGCTCGGGAAAGGTTCGGTTCCTAGGTTCCCAGGCTCCCAGGTAGAATAGTTCGTTGGGTTGCCAGGCTCAGTCTGTTACCCTCAGTCAGGGAGTCTGTGTTCGACAGAACTTTGAATTGCTCCGCTGGCAACCCAGCTCCCTGGGCTGATAAAATATAATAATAAAAATTTAAGCATGAATTTTGAAGCATGTTCCGTGGAGTCCTCATCGTCATCATCTGTCATCAATGTCATCAGGTTCCCAGGCCCGTTCAAGGTTCATGGGCCGCAACATCATCATCACCATCATCAGTCATCAATTTCATCAGGTTCCCAGGCCCGTTCAAGGTTCATGGGCGGCCGCAACATCATCATCACCATCACCATCATCATCTTCAGTCATCAGTCGAGGTTTCCAGGCCCAGAGGGCCCAGAGGATATGCGTGCCACGGGCTTGTAGAGTTGACTTGCAAGTTGTAGTCCAGCCGGCTTGGTCTGAGAGTTTAGGTTTCACAAGGTTGCTGGGTTCTAACACTCTTTGCCTGTTTGCCTGTTCCCAGACACGGGCTGCAGGAGAGCGTGTCGAAGCTCGGCATGTTCTCCTTCAGCCCGTGTCGTATCGGCTTCCAGGTTCAGCTCGGCAATCGCCAATGAAATTAATTAAGTTTCTCCTAACCAGTCCGGCTTCGCGACTGTTGCCGAATTCATCTGCGGCTGAAGATCTGCCGCAAGACTCCCTCCCTGGCTGGGCTGAGACATGTGCCGTGACATGTCAATCATCACGAGGCTCGGGAAAGGTTCGGTTCCTAGGTTCCCAGGCTCCCAGGTAGAATAGCTGGGCTGAGACCTGTGCCGTGGCATGACAGACATCATCGAGGCTAATAGCATGCCCCGTGGAGTCCTCATCGTCATCATCTGTCATCAATGTCATCAGGTTCCCAGGCCCGTTCAAGGTTCATGGGCCACAACATCATCATCACCATCATCATCATCAGTCATCAGTCATATGCGAGGCTTCCAGGCCCAGGGGGCCCAGAGGATATGCGTGCCACGGGCTTGTAGAGTTGACTTGCAAGTTGTCTGTAGTCCAGCCGGATTGGTCTGAGAGTTTCTAAAAGGTTGCTGGAGACTAACACTCTTTGCCTGTTTGCCTGTTCCCAGACACGGGCTGCAGGAGAGCGTGTGCAAGCTCGGCATGCTCTCAACCGCTACTCGGGAAGCCGGACTGGTTAGGAGAAACATCATCATAATATGATGATGCTGCTCCTCACCAGTCCGGCTTTGCGACTGTTGCCGAATGCATCTGCGGCTGAAGATCTGCCGCAAGACTCCCTCCCTGGCTGGGCTGAGACATGTGCCGTGACATGACAATCTGACAATCATCACGAGGCTCGGCAAAGGTTCGGTTCCTAGGTTCCCAGGCTCCCAGGTAGAATAGTCGTTGGGTTGTCAGGCTCAGCACAGGTCTCAGCCCAGGGAGCTGGGTTGCTTGCGGCGAGTCTTGTTCCGTCGCAGATTCAGTCGAACACAGACTCCCTGACTGAGGGTAACCAGTCATCATCGAGGCTTGGAAAATTAAGCATGCCCCGTGGAGTCCTCATCGTCATCATCTGTCATCAATGTCATCAGGTTCCGAGGCTTGTTCAAGGTTCATGGGCCGCAACATCATCATCACCATCATCATCATCAGTCATCATCATATGCGAGGCTCCCAGGCCCAGATCCCTTAAAATTTTTCGGGAGGGTCGACGCACACACCAAGATAAGAAGGGGACCCCCGACAGCAGAAAGAGACGGAGAGCCAGCCCAGGAACAGATCCCTCTCATCAAGGTCCGCGTGCCTCCAGGTGAGTATCTTCTGCGACCCTCAGTGTCTTGGAGCTCAACTTCAGGGTTTTGGGGTGATGGTTTGGGGTTCGTGGCTTATGGTTTGATCAAACCCTGGGTGTCATGAATTTCTGTACTGCAAATAGGTACTACCATTAGGATTTGGGTCATTATCCGCTATCCTATTCTTATGATTCTTATTACTATACCGGGACTTTGAGCTTCACCCAACCGGCAGGTTCTCCGGGCAGCCCCCAACCCTGTGAACCCTAAGCCCCTGAACCCAGGAATGGTGACAGATTGGGTTTACGAGATTCTGGCAGTGTCCTTGCCAGGACGGGTTGAGTCGACGTAAGCTCTGCCCGGCTTAGCCCTGTAATCCTATTTATGCACCAGTCTCCCGAAAAGGGACCCCAGACACAGCAACAACAGGGCGCAGCCATGCCCCCCATGTGCCTCCACTGCGACAGCTCGCGACTCAATTACGCCACAACCCTAAACCCACCCCCAAAAAAAGCAAGCGCCGTCAACATCCGAGTCCTTCAAAGTTGCCGCCACGGTCAACCCCTCATCGCACAAATTCTCTTTTGACGAGCTCCTTGGCGCCGGCCTTCTTGAAGGCTATTCTCTGCTGGAGGCCAGTCCGGGGGAGTTGTTTTTGTCGTTGTCCGTTTTAACTGGTTACTCGTGTGTGTTTTTTGCATCTCGTGTTGCCACCCCAAATGCCCGACACCCCAAAGTCTAAAAGTTCTTTGCTTGTGATATAGGAGTTCAGGGTTTTGTAAAACCTTGCAGGTGTATCGTACTTACTGCAGTAGCTTTTCACTATGATATTAAATGTTCATAATTCCTGTACAAACGTCGTGTCGTCTCGTATGTCTTTAGTTTCTACATACGACGGCAGCCTGAACGGAAGCACCTCTTCTCGTTCTGTATAGGGTTCGGGGTTTCAGTATGGCTGCAACGGCACGTGGAACCTTTCACCCTGCAATAGTGGCTTAATATGAACATAACGAGACCCCCACATACACGCGCGGCAAAGAAAACCCTGCGCAAATCGCCTGGCCTGGGAGCAATAGGCATGGGTCCGAGCTGCGTGCACAGACCAAGAAAAGACGTCAAAGATCGCAATCCCACAGGGAAGGCACGCCTGAGACGCATGCTCGACCTCGACGACCGCTGGAGGCATAGCCAGTGCAAGCGACGAGCCTTGCAAACTCCGCTTCCTTTGTGATGCACTTGTCTTGCTTCGCTGCTTTTCGTGTTGATGATGCTCACGCACTTTGTGCTACTATCACAGCGTTGTGCATTGGTGTGATGTGCTCACAGTGCTCTCGCAGAGTGGTGGAGGGTGGTGGTGTCGGTGGCAGCTGTGGTGGTAAGGACCAGCAGCTGCAGCGGCGGGGAGCAGCTGGTGGCGTGTATAGGTGGATCAGAAGCCGGTGGCGGTGGCAGAGGGAGAAGGTCGATGGTGGTGGCAGTGGTGATGGTGGTGGTGAGACGGCGGCGGAGGTGGCGGCAGTCGCAGCCGCGGCATTTGCCAGGCGGATTCCGAGTCGCATCCATCATCAGCCTTGCAGTTTGGACCTGCGCAGTTTGCCGGCACCCTGAAAGTGGCCGAACGTAAAGCACTCATAATCAACCTTGCTCGCAGACACAAGCATGCAGAAGCATGAAGAGATGATCCCCTCTCCTGGTATACCCACAGCACTGCACACCACACATCCAATTCCAATCATGTCGGCCTCTGATGTCTCCATTTTGCTTCACCTTTGCTGCAGGTGACGGCCGATGGCTCGATCTCCATCGCTCCGGATCCAGGGCTGCTGTGCCAAAAGAGCCCTCATATTGCTTGGGTATACTGGCAAAAGCTCCCGAGTTCAGGCACAGCTTTAAGGGTCTAGGGTTTGGGGCCTTGAGGTTAGGGTAATTAGGGTTGAAAGTTTGAGCTTCCTGGTGATCCACTCCAAAGTTACGTGATGAAGCTGCTACATCGTTTTGAAAGCCTGCAGCTGGCAAACTGGGCTCGCATGATCCTTTATCTGTATCTCTAGTTCAGGAAAAACATCCACCCAAGACGTCCCAAGACTACTCCAGCCCTCCACCGCCGAATATGAAATACTCATACTCACTACAGCGGCCGACACCCCCCTGCCCCCCGGGTGTTTGGTATACACATCTATCATCATCAAGGTCATCGCCATCGATCATCTATCAGCATCATCATCATCATCACCATCATCATCATCGTCATCGTCATCGCCGTCATCGTCATCATCATCGTCATCGTCATCGTCATCGTCATCATCGTCATCGCCGTCATCGTCGTCATCGTCGTCATCATCATCATCACGTTCATTTCTTTAGTGGTCGGGTGTGTCCTGTCCACGATCCTGGTGACGATTATCGCGTTTTTGATCGTGCGTAGGGCCGCGATCTTTGTGACAGTTGTTGCTTTGGGGGCATACTTCGTTGCAATGGGTCCACTGTCACAGGGATCGGGGTCAGGAATGCGAGCGTCGTGACAGCTGCCTTTTTTAGGACCCTCATGTCGGGGTCGTGGTTGGAAAGTGTCCACTGTCACAAGGATCGGGCGTGTTTGTGATCCAGGGTTTGGAGCCCTCATGTGAGAGCAGCGCGTACAGTCACAGGGATTCGGCACGGGGGGTATACCATTGTTTTTAGTTTTTTTTCGGGGGGGACGACGATCCCAGAACCGGCATCATTTATACCTAGTGGGGTGTTTGTCCCAGTATACGCTTTATATATTATATGAGTTACGAGACCCCACCCCCCAATGCTAGGCTTAAATCTCCCACACCTATGTGTCGCACATCACCAATTGAGGCTTGTGGCGGTTTTCGACACCATGTCAAATTCCGACAGCGTCAGACAGAGGACAGGCGAGATTTTGTTCATGGGAATGTTTTTCACAGAAAGGGGGTTTGGAATAATGTGCTAATTGCACGTTGGCTTAAGGCTTAGAGCTTGGGATTTACTTTTCCTTTGTAGAACCCTGAATCATTAGGGCCCATGCCCCTTACAATCTTCACATGTTTATGTAGAAAAGTCATAACATGCAACGACAAGCTATTCCGGTCAAGAAAATGCTTGTGATCCCTGGCATCCCAAACCTGTCACCCACCTGGCAAGGATTCTCCTCAACTTAGCCATCTGGGGAGACTTCCCATCGGTGATGGGCTTGGAGCCCTTGAAGGCCAGCGCATGGGCTCATACGACTATATAGGATTTAGAGTTAAGGGATCCCAGTCGCTGCGGGGTTGCGAGTTTAGCTGTACTTTCCTTTACGCGAAAACATCTTCGGAACTGAGATTCGCACTCGGTCTTTACGTATATGGATGTGTCGAGGTATGCTTCCTCAGTGAGGAGTTTTTCGAGTTTTTCCCCTCTAGGGCTGCCTTTTCCTCAATGACCTGAGACAGCGGCATCCTTGGATGTAGGGTGCAGAGCTTCGGGTTTAGGATTGGGCGTGTATTGCTTCGAGTTTAAACTTTGGGGTCTTGGGGTTTGCTCGATGTTCAGACGTCAACAAGCAGGGTGTGTGTTGTGGCGCTGACGTGCAGTGTCTCAACCTTGGCGGGTTAGGATTGCCAGCTGGTTTAAATCCGCGGGTTTACATGCTGGGTTCTGGCTCAAGCACCAGAAGCTGGTTTGCAGGATCGTAGGGCTTATGTGCTGGGCTCTCGCTCAGGTTACATAAGATTTCGGCCCGTGCCGAATGGCGGCCAAGTCCCGAAGTACCAGCAAGTTCTCCCGGCCGTCACGGGCATCTCGCGCACGCCGCGCGGAGAAACGCGCAACAAACGCGGAGACGTCCCCCTATCCCCCAACCCCCCGTAGGCTTGGAGACCCAAAGCTCAAGATATGAAGCGCCGTAGACATTTTGGGGGTCGAGAACCCCTGAAGCTCGAAACTCCGAACCCACTGTTAAAGCCAAACCCCAAGCCTGCAAACCCTTGGCCCTGGGCCCTAAACCCGCGAGAAACGGTCGGGGCCCTAAGGGATAGGTTTACGGGTTTGAAGTTTACTGTACGGTTTAGCAGCAAGGGCCTGGAGTAATCAGAGCTGAATGCCAAGACCTTTGATTCTGAGATGAGCCATCGTCCAAACTCCTTAAAGCGGATTATATAGGAGATTAGATGGGGTTCTAGTGCAGGGCTTAGGAGGGAGCATATGCTATGGGCTCGGAGGTCAAACCCTCGAAGGGTTAGGGCGGTTAGGGTCTGTTTCGGTTTGGGTTTTTACTTGTAGAGCCTAAACCGTGGGTTTCCCGGGATGTAGACGTGCATCTTCCCAGGCTGAGATTCAGGTTGAACTCTTGGACAACATTTGCTGGGCTCCGGTCTCAGCTTTTGGGGGAGTGGGAAAGCTGTAGCAACCTTAAGTTGGTGAAGGGCTTGAGTAGTGCCCCTGATTTGAAAGACGTTCCCCCACACTGCTCCTTCGGTGCTTCAGACTTTGGGGCTTGGGGTGTGGACTGGAAGATCCCCTGCAAAGTTGGAACTCGAGGCTACTCAAAAGACCCGTAAAACTGTAAACCCTCTAAGCCCTAAGCGCCCGACACCGGAGGTCCAGACGTCTTTCACAGAGGACAGCTACAGCGTGGTGCCGGGGACTCCGTCAAACAATGAGGCTGCCACTGAGGGGTTCGGGACTTTGGCTTTAAGTGTTTGACGCTTTTTGGCTTTAGCGCATGTAGGGATGTAATGGCTGAGGGCTTACGTTCATGGATTTAGGCTTCGGGGTGGCACGGTGCAGGGGAGGAGCCAGCAGTGCCCGGCTGGACAACAGACTCCAGCGATGGAGAAATTAGATGTAAATCCCATGGAAATCCATTCATCATCCCAGTAACGTAACACACAAGCCCTTAAAGCCTAACCCTATAGGGGATCGAATTCAGTTTGCATATCCCTCCCTCGCGATCTCTGCTTCGCGCTCTCTCTTTCACGCTCTTTCCCTTGCTCTCTAACCCCGGCGCTTGCTCTCATCCCTCGCCCTCTCTCCCTCTCGCTGTCTCCCTCACACTCGCTCTCATTCCTCGCCCTGTCGCCCTCGCACCGTCTCCCTGACACTCTCATGCCTCGCCCTCTCTCCCTCTCATGTCTCCCTTGCGCTGTCTCCTTCACGCTGTCTCCCCCTGCCGGCCCATCACATCTCACGTCCAATCGCACCGCTTGCCAACTATCTAGCCTGGAACAGACAATAGGGAGGGAGGAAGAGGGGGACAGAGAGAGAGAGAGAGAGAGACACACATACACACAGAAAACAACTTGAATCAAGAGAAGCTCAAGTGTTGGATCCAAGCACAAGCCAACCTCGTGTTATGCGATTCGGAGTGGCAGGCCCTGTGAGAGGGCATTTTTACCTTCGATGAATTCTCGGATGAGAATCAATCGTCGAGTTTTGTAAACCCAAGACTCAAGACTATCTGCAGGACTGATCATTTCAGTGGCATGTTCGCTGTTTTCGCACAACGGCATGTCGTCTGCTTCATCCACCACAAGGTATGTCGCGCGATCCATGTCAGCGCGCGTCCTGGTGCAAACTGACGTTCTTTCCCGGCGCTTCGACTTCTTTCATCTGCGCTTGGATTGTGTCTACGGCGATTCGTGGACAACTTGATTTCATCCAGGGGTGGGTTTGTGTTAGGGCTGTTAGGGCCCTCGCTTTTGCTGGTGTTGTGGGAGACCGGGTGCTGGAGGCCTACAGCTTGCTACCACAGCTGGACGAGAAGGATCTATGCTTTTGTCTTGGCATTAAAAGATGGCTGGTCCACCAAGAGGGCTATTCGCCCGGGGCGGCCCGTTGACCGGAGCGCACTGGTCGGCCACTTTCACCCTTGAGGCCCACAGACGACAGGGACCCCTTTCCTCTAACCTGGAGAACAAGAAAGAGAAGAAGGGGAAGAGAGCGAGCGAGGGTGGATGGAGAGGGAGAAGAAGGAAAGGGAGAGAAAGCCAGAACGAGAGTGACGGAGACACAGACAGAATAACCAGATGTGGACATTCAATTAAAGACATTGTTTGATGCACAAAGCCGAAAACATGCACTTTCATGCAGCTCCCGAGAAAAATGACCCAGAGTTTGCCTCGAAGCTTTCCTTGCAGAGGCGGAGTGCCGGTCGCAGTGCCGGCAAGATGAGTCCTGCCCAAGCTTTGTCCACGTGAGTGGTCGGTGCAGACGACGCGTGGCACGATTGATGGGGCCCTACTGAACCTTCAGGCGGCACTGATGCAGAAGCCTGTGGCCAATTACTCATGTCACATGTTGGAAGCTGATCCCTTTGCAGTGTTTAACCAACAGCAATTTCATGCACGCCTCAGTAACTTAGGGTTCTGTAAGGGTTATGTAACTTATGTAAGTGTATTATCTGGATATATACTATAGATTGTAAGATCCGAATGATGGGCGGCGATGGGCGTTCGTTCTGGGGACAGTGTTTATTTAGTTTCCCGTAGAGCCTTCATCGAATCCCGACGACAGGAGCTTCGCAGTTCCAAAATATTGTTCGCGTAGGGTTTAAGGATCTGACTAGGGCCAGACTTGGAGGACGAAGAGGGACAACCCGCTCATGCTGTATGTTTATGGAACCCGTGCGTTAAACGTTTTGAAGCGGACAGGTGCCCCATGTGTGCCCTCTCAACACCAGCATTCACATTAAACACGCGGTGTTTAAACCCTGACTGAATTTTCAGCCCTACAGCTCACAATAGGGTGGGTGCCGAAAGCCGCGCCCAATGCGATGCCTGAATGCCTGAATTAAGAGTCCGACCCCCAATTTCCATCCTACGTCCTACTCAGCCCTAGCCGTGGGGAAAATTAAATCGGGGTAGAAATTACAAGATCGAGATATAGGCTTCAGGGTTTTACAATTGGGGGGGGGGGATTTAGGGTTTAAACTTAAACACAAAGTTAATGGGCGAGTGCAGTACCCCTAAACATTTTTAAACCCTAAATCCCACCCAGCCCGGAAGCCCTCTAGGATACTGGCAGCGGGCTACCCAGAGCGGCGCAGTCCGGACTGTGTACGCCAAGGCAGGCACAGAGGAGTTCATCGAGCGGTTTAAGGCTTGTATAGCGTTTAGGAGTTTGAGTTTTCATGTTTGATTTGCCATTTTGGGCAGTTAGGGTTTTTGTTTTTGAGGCTTAGGGATTGAAGGCTTCGATTCTGTGTTTAGGATTCTGAATGCTGGAGTGTAGACGCTCAGACTTAGAGGTTTAGGGTGGTAGGCCTTTGGATTTAGGATCTGATTTTGAAAGCTAGGGTTCAGGCTGTCCTAGGGTTGGTTTTGGGGTTGGGGCATTTAGGGGTTTTCCGGGGTCAGGTGTTGGCGCTAAGGGTTGAGATTTTGGGTTGTGCGATCAGAATTTGGGATCCTGGATTGTGGCTTATGATTAATCCCATTATAGCTCTTATAGTATGCCTTTCTTCCCCTAAAATAGTCAGGGTCTCATGTGACGGTTTTTTGGCCGTAGAGCCGGGAGCCCTCTACACATGTTACACAGCAGGTTCTTCACCCACCCAATAGAAACATGGTGTCTAAGAGTGCCCTTCATAACCCTTCACAGACCATGTTACAATTTACCAAAACCATACTATTGACCAAATCCCAACGGCACAGCCTTATCCCGATGCCTCGACATTCCAGCCGGTTTAGGGCTTGGGGTTTGGGTTTAGCGCGACTACCCCGCTCAATTCGTGGAGGTAGCTGTCCGAAGCCCTTAGCCGCCTTAGCCCCAAAGCCTTTTGACCATCCAAGCACACAAATCACAGAAGGTACTGGCGAGACGGGTGCGGGGGCATGATTGTCAGCAAGATTGAGCCCTGTAAATCAAAATACATGTCCATTGTATCATGCTCCCCAAACCCTAAACCTCAAAACCCCAAACCAAAACCTTTAAACCTCAAACCCCGAACCGTCAACCCCTGCCAAACCCCTTAGCACAACGCCCTCCAGCCCGAAACCTCTCAATTCCAAGCCCAGACCCTAAACAAACCTTCCAATCTTGGCAGGTCACGGATTGCACTGTGGACACTACGTGCATGGAGGTGGAGCATCCGGATTGGTGCCTTGAGCTTGTTCGAGCTATTTTAATCTATAGTTCAAACTCCTCAAAAAGGGTAGGGATTTGGCATGTTGGGTGCTTTTGGGTTTGGGATTTACGGAGCGATTTTGGTTGGGGCTTAGGTGCGGCATGGGACAATGTAGACAGGTGAAGCCCGACCCTGCTTCGGATAGCCGCAAGTAGGGCAAGTAGGGTTCCCAATAGGTTTGTTTTGAGTGGGGTCGTAAGCAGGATACGAACCTCCAAGTTTCGGTACGAGTATGAAGCGCAGTGGGAGAAGTGGGGCCTTGAAAAACTCAAGAGGTCCCTGGCAGGGAATTAGGCCGAGGGATTGCGAGCGCCCGGTGGCTTGTATCATATTAGACAGTGATCAAACTACTGCTATATGGGATCCTAATGGGAGACCATGTAGGGCAGTCTTCTGTTTCCTTGTGGAAAGGTTCAGTCGAGGGCATCTGTCAACGTTGGCTCTTATGCTCCCAGTGTTCCGTGTTTAGTCTTCGACTTGCGGCACTTCTTAAAGCCTTGTATTCCCCAAATACCCCTAGCATGCCCCCGAGGCCCACAAGGTTTCAACCTCTACACTAAGCCCTACCTCCAGAACCTTAAACCCTGGGCTCAGGATGGTGTACTTCGGGGTGGTAGTGCAGGTTTTGGGGTTTGGGGCTTCAGGGTTTTAGGTTTGGGTGTAGGGCGTTAGAGTCCCTTTCCCTTCCATTCGGCTTAGGCTTTTGGGCTTTTTGGAGGGCTGTGTTTGGATTGAGGAGGACAGGAACATGGTGGGTCCAGGGTCCAAGCTGTAACTACTGAGGGGGTTTTGGTTACCCCAACCCGCAAGGCTAGGTTCAGGGTTCAGGGTCCCCAATCCAAGGTACAAGGGCGGAAGATATTGCCCCGTTGCAACGGACCTCTTCCGAAACAGCGTGCTCTATCGCAAGGACGGGCGTGTCTCAGTTAGATTTGCGTGCCTTTTGTTCTTAAACCTTGTCTCTGTTCTTGTGGATCTGAGTCTGCAAAATGGATCCTTCTGAGTCAAACACTAACACCGACTCCGACTTTTCTTTTCTGCGTCGGCCATCTCGATGAGCTGGGATGCAGCGGCCTTCCAAAGATTCGAGACCCTTTGTCATCTTTGCAGTTCATGACATGTAACTGTTGCAGCACTTTAGACCCCAATGAACCCTCCGAGCCCGAACCTCTTACACCGAACACCCAATCCAACTCTAGCCCTATACCACAAAGCCGACAGTGCCCGCCTTCGCCAGATGGCATCTCGCAATCTGCTCAACTGTGCCTCAATTAAACACCGAACCGTACATCGCAAATCCCAAGTTCAAACCCGACAGCAACTGAGAAACAGGGGCAAACCGCTCGAAAGGGACTAATGCATGAACCACGAGCACGTCGCCTGAAAGGGACTGGAACCTTTGAGAAGCAAAGCAAACTGCTCGAAAGGAACTGCTCGAAAAGGGGTAGAGCGTTTGAGAAGAAGGAGCAAACCGCTCAAAAAGGAATACAGCAATTGAGAAACGGGAGCAGACGGCTCGAAAGCGACAGCAGCATGTCAATCCGATCGAAACAGACTAATTAAATAGGACTTGAGAAGCAATTCAGAAACAGGGGCAAACCGCCCGAAAGGACCTGAGCAGCGGAGAACTAGGAGCAAGCCGCTCGACATGGACTGGAACAGTTGCGAAGCAGGAGCAAAGCGCTCGAAGGGGCCTAACACCTTCGAGAGACAAGAACAAGCTACTGGAAAGGGACTGGAGCGTTTGACAATCAGGAGCAAATCGCTCGAACCAGGCTAAGGCATTGGAGTTCGGGGGTGGGAAAAACTTGGCTGTGCTGAAGCGGGCGGCTCGGGGTGTGCTACACCCCAGCAAGCGACCCACGGCGCAATTCCCGAACTTTGAACATGATATGACCCCCTCAGTAAATTACGACTCCCCAACAGGAAATCTCTATGTAGGCCCTCCTTCGGATCCGAATGCCGTCCTTTTGATGCCCAAACGAGCCTTCCACATTGGGGAAGCTTTAAACACTTTACGACAGCCTCCTACCGCAGACGCTTGGAAGCTGAAGGAAGATTGAAAGGTGGAGCCGTGGTTTCAGGGCTTGAGTAAATGCACAAACACACACGCACAGTCCCAGATTGCTTCACAGCACTTCTATCACCGTCTTCGTTGGGCAGTGGATGATAGAAGGCTCACTGCCCCCCTGCATTTACAAAATCCTTGGTAACAGGATGTACACACACGCACACACGCCCCTTCCGAGGAAGAGGCAGTGCAATCGCTGAAACACGGCGCATGCTGCGTTCGGGTTAGACTCAAACTGACAAGAACTTACCAGCCATCAATCACAACGCACTCAGGAGAGATCTACGCCAACGCATCACAGTGAATCTCACAACGCTCATTGTTGGTTTTGCTAGCTGCTTTCGCCCAGGCACCTTAAGTTTCAAACTCTCACACACTACGCAGGCATCGCTGGTACTACGCTGACGGTAAATTTCTTTGGCACAGAGCAAGACACACACAGGCCCTTACGGGCTCATTTTGCATTTTCGTCGAGTGATTGGATGACAGCGAACCGGGAAACGTTTTAGAGACAGGCCCGATGAGGTGACGGAGAAAGTGAAACAACTACAGATGCACGCAAGAAAACAATGGAGGAAAGAAAAAGGACAAGGCGAAGATGAAGACTGCATCGGATCCCAGAAAATACCCGGGACCAGCGTCTAACAGCTTCACGAGCAGTTGCTGTGTCCGACTTGGCTTCTGAAACAATTCAATAAACTGTCTCTCCCATGCATGCAGTCAATCGGATCACTCAATGCACTCAAGATCAAACAAAAACAAAACGTATTCTCCAACTGAGCCAGGTCGTTCCGATCAGGGAACTTGAACTTCACCGTTTTCAGACTGATGCTGGGGGCCAGCACTTCCGTCAAGTGATTGGATGACAGCGAACCGGGAAACGTTTTAGAGCCAGGCCCGATGAAGTGACGGAGAAAGTGAAACAACTACAGATGCACGCAAGAAAACAATGGACGAAAGAAAAAGGACAAGGTGAAGATGAAGACTGCATTGGATCTCAGAGAATACCAGGGACCAGAGTCTCTGACTCGTCTCGAATATGCTTTGCGCGAATAGAATCAGCTGTCCCAGAGAATACCAGCGACCAGGGTCTCTGACTAATCTCGCAGATGATCGTCGCATTGGTCGTCAAACAAAGATCAAACGCCCGGAGCTCTGTCCTGGGGAACCTCGCACAAGGCCATGCAAAACAAAGCTTAATACATTCCTCTGTTCACCATCTTCAGACCAATGTCGGGGACCGGTGCTTCCGTCAGGTGATTAGATGACAGCGAGAAGGGGAGACATCGTAGAGAGACAGGCCCGATGAGATGAAAGAGAAAGTGAAACAACTACAGATGGACGAACGAAAACCAATGAACGAAAAGAGGACCAGATGAAGATGAAGACAATGCTAGGTCCGCAAAAAGGTTAACGATCAGCTGTGGGATCACTCAGCATCACACAGTAACATATTCTCCGACTGAAGCAGGTCGTTCCGATCAGGGAACTTCAACACGTCTTTCAAAAGATCATGAACCAACAGCTGCATGAATGCAGAGGCCTGTTGTATCTTGTTGTTAGATCTTTGAGTGTCCGATGCCTCCTGCCGGTACTCTCACGAATGTCCAATCAGGGAGGTTCAACTGGTCACGTGCTCACGCTCCCACAACTACGATTGCACACTGTCTCTTCAATACATGCACAGCGGCTTCTCGAGCACTCATGCTTGAAAAAAGCTCACATGACTTGCCCTTGCACTGTTGCTTGACAATTTGTACAAAGACTTCTCTGGCGCTCATGCTGTTATTGAGCCTTCTGAGTGGCCGAAACCTCCTGCTTGCACACATGCAGCTCTCGTTTGTGGGATTTGTTTCAGGAGACAATCCAGGTCGTCCCCTGCAGAGCCCTTGTGCCGTTGCTTGACAGCTTGCATCCATGTGATGCTGCCGGCGGGATTAATCCTTCTCAATAAGCGTCTTGCGCGAATAGAATCCAGCCGCTCGTAACCTCAATAATCTCAATAATCCAGCGTTGCTGTTGCGTCGCTCGTCCTCGAAAGAATCAACTCATCCGAATCAACAGACACAAAGCACTATGCTACCGCTTGCGGAACTTGGCTTTGAACTCACAGCTTCTCAACAGACAAACACTCTCTGACGGCAATCCTCAAACCAATGTCAATCGAACCAAGATGCTCTCAGCTGGAGACAGTAACAGACACGGTAAATCAGGATATCCGATTGTATCTTTGTCGAGTGTCAGACTGTAACAGATCATCAGGCTTAGGTCGTTTTGTTCCGATCAGGGAACAAAAAACTGGTCATTGGCATGACCGTCATCCGGGCTACCCCGGAGCAGACAGTGCGCTGAACGAAGCTGTCTGGAGCACACATGTGCGCGTCTCCAAGCTGAGCTTGACAACATTGGACCTCACTACACACCTTTCTTATGTTACAACACTCCACGGCTTCACTGTCGAATTGAAAATGTGCTTACAGGTACACAATCTGGCGTCCCAGATTGCTTCACAGCACTTCTATCACCGTCTTCGTTGGGCAGTGGATGATGGAAGGCTCACTGCCCCCCTGCATTTACAAAATCCTTGGTACAGGATGTACACACACACACAATTAGGATAGGGTGTATACCTTAAGTGCTTTGCCACCTTCTTGCCCTTATAATTATTGTTACGGTTTATGGTTGGTTGCAGACCTTATGCGCTTGCACGCGCAAGTCGAAACATTTTCTGCAGCTTCTAAATGGAGGCGTATTTATTTTGGTATTTTTTTGTTTTTTTGGCTTTTTTTTTTTTTGGCTTGTGTGCGCGCTTGGCTTGGCTTCTCGGCTTCCCTGGCTTCTTGGCTTCTGGCTTCTTGGCGGGCCTTGGTTTTTTTTCCAAGGTGCGGCCAACCCTTGTTGGCGAGGTGCGGCCAAGGGTCCCTGGTGCATGCGGTCCCCTAGTCCTCTGGTCCTTGGTCTTGTGGTCCCCTGGTCCTCTGCTCGCGGTCCCCTAGTCCTCTGGTCCTTGGTCCTGTGGTCCCCTGGTCCTCTGGTCTGCTGGTCCTCTGGTCCCGTGGTCTCCTGGTTCCCTGGTGCATGCGGTCCCGTAGTCCTCTGCCACAACCACAACCACAACCACGGGATAGGGGTTAAAAACAAATCAAATAAGAATCAAAAACATAAAATAAGGATCAAACAGAAATTAAATAAGGATCAAAAAATAAACAGGTATCCACGAAAGGAGGGGGGGGTAACGGAGGAAAGAAAGACAGAGAGAGAGAGAGATCAAAAAAGAAAGAAAGAAAGAAGGAAAGCAAGAGGGACAGAGAGAGAAAGAAAAAGAAAGAAAGAACGAAACAAAGAATGAGCGGAAGAAAGCAATAAGGCAAGAAGAAAGAAATACACAAAAATAGTTATAAGGAAAGAAAGAAATCAAAAATAAACAAATAGACAAATAAAGAAAGCTATAAGGAAAGACAAAAGAAAACACAAGGAAAGGACGAAATAGAGTCAGAAACAAAGAAAAACAAACAATAAAGACATAACGAAATAACAAAAATGGAGAAAGAACGACGAAAGGACATAAATTAACTAAGATGTTGTTTTGTTCTATGTTATCTTCTGTTATATTGTATTGTCGTCTTTTGTTATGTTATTAGATGCTACATGAAGCAAGGTTCTGTTATATCAGATAATGTCACACTATTTTTGTGATGTCGAACCATCTTATGTCGTTCTTATGGTTTACTATGTTATATTATGTTATAGAGTGTTAACGGAAGAAGAGACACGAACAGGCACGGAAGAACGAAAGACCCACCGCCGCGCTTTTCGAGCTGCGCAAGCTTGATTCAAAG